ACGAGGACCCAACACCACAGGATGGTTGGGAACATCTGATGTGATCTGGTTTCAGGTGTTGCAACGCAGCTGTCGCACGTGTAAAGTTGCCGCTGCTGCGGCTGGCGATCAGCTGCAGCAGCGACGATTTTTTCGCTGCAGCGCAAATCTGGCGCCGAATCTTTGGACGCCAGGAATGGATTCGGAAAAAAGTGGGTACATTGCCCAACAACAAATGTTGTACCAAACCAACAGCGGCCGCTGTTGGGCAGGCGGCCTTCTGTCGCAAATGTACACAGGCCGCGGCGACACCGACAGCGATTCCCGTTCAAAATGAGCAGGAACTGCTGGTGGGCATTGTACCCATTCTTTCCGTACCTATGTCGCTCGTGCCGAAAATATATCACACGATAACGGCTCATGCTGCGGGAGCTCAGTTGCCCCAGTACGCAACGCACAACCCGTTGCGTCTTGACACGGACGCAGCACATAGATTGGAAGCTTGCGGCTCGCGCGATGCACTCGCCAAAACACGTGGGCCAGCAGGTCGACCCCCCACACGCAACGTGCTGACACGGACGCTTCGAACACGGCACGTGCTGCGTTTGTTTTTGTTGTGTTCTTCCTTCTTCTTCTTTTTTACCCGGGCGTAATTCTCAGGGCGACCAGAATCACACGACGGCGGCTGGTCACGCTGGAGTGCCTGGCCAAAACCTTTGAGCGGAGCCAGGCTGCAGCAGGGTGCCCCCATGCTGCTCGCTGCTCGGAGCCCTCGCGCCGCCCTCACGCGCTGGTGCCGCGGGCGGCCACGCGCCCGGCGTGCTCTCCGCCCTCGCCCGCCGTGCCTCCAACGAAGGCCGCGGCGCCAAAGCGGGCCCGCCCTGACGAGGATGCCAACCGCCCACCGAGCCTCCGCACGCGCGCCGACCCCGATTGGTCGCCTCCTTGCGCCGCTCCTTCGCCTCGAGCTCGGCCACGATCGCCCTGACCCGAGCGAGCGCCGCGACGTGCTCACCACCTCCGTCGACCTCATCGCGTCGCGGTCGTGCAGCGGGGCTCTTGGTGATGGGGCTGCCGGAGGTTGGTGGTCACCAGTTCAGCCTGGAGTCGAGCTGCTCCCCTTACAGAGCTGGCTGCGGCTTGGGCTGCGGCAGCGTGCTCGGCAGCCAGTCAGGCTGCATGTCAGTACGTGTGAGTAGCCTCCGCTCGCCCAGGGCGGCATAGCACGCGTCCTTCCCGTTCTGGTGCGTCGGCGTCACGCTGTGCTGCACCAGGCAGCAAGCCTAGGGCGAGCGTGTTGGGTGGCCTCGTCGCGGGCGCGAGCAGCGCCTCGATGGGGTCCATCGCCTCCGCCCGCGGCAGAGCGACGGTGGTACCATCACTGCAGCTTCACTCGAGGCGCTCCAGGCACATGTCGTGCACCATGACATATTCCTCGTCGGCCGCTTCGTCTCGCTAGATCAAAGCATGGCGGAAGGCCGCTGCCGCGCCGCCGTCATGGCCTGCGCTGCGTGTGTACAGCGCCGACGCCGCCCCTCCGCGTGATGCGCCCGCCACAGCTGGTGACGGGGGCGCCGCCACATGCGAAATGCTCCAAACTTTCGAACGGCGCTGCGGACGCAGACGCTGGACTGGATGCGGGCGATGGTGCGCAGGCGCTGGCCGCGCCGTCCGTCACGCTGCGCTGCCCTGAGACGGCGCTGGCGGCGGCGGCGCCCGGCTCACGCTGCACGAGGCACGACGGCCGCATCCGCGGGTACTCGCCCTCAACCACTCGGCCACACCCTGTCGTGTACACGCACGTCAGCCGACGCGCGCGCTCGAGCAGCGCACTGCTCGCCAATCGGGCCGCGAGTGTGGTGTCGAAGAAGAGAGTCGCGCCCGGCTCGAAGGGCAGCGCCGGTGCATCGTCGCCCTCGCCCCAGGCGCACGGCGTCGATGCGCCGCGCGCGGGGGCTTCCGCACAGCCCATGGCCACGAGCGCCAGCGGCGGCGGCGGCGGCGCCGCGCTGAAGTCCTCATCGTGGTGTAGCTGTCACGAGACCTTCTCACACCACGGCCCGTCGTGGGCACCAGCCGGCCCGACAGCCCGTGCCAATCGCGCACGTCGTCCGCGCAGCCGAGGGCGTTCGTTTCTGGGGAGCCCGGGAAGCAGTGCGCCGCGTAGGCTGCCGCCCTGCGCAGGCGCGGCCAGCGGCTTGTTCGGCGGCGCGCACGACATGCCCATGGCGCGGTGCTCGGACGCGCACACAGACCGCCGGCCGGCCGGGCAGATGAGCTCGCCGCCGTCGCCACGCAGCAACACGACGGACCGCGAGGAGCAGCCTGGGCCACCTCGCGCGCGAGACACCGCCGTCAGCGGCGGAGCGCAGCGTAGCGGCGACGGCGTGAGCGCTCGGACTGCGACTTCCGCCCCCGGCGCCGGCGCCAGCGGCTTGGAGAGCATGTGATCTCGGGCAGCGGCGCCCGTGAGTTGGGCCGTAGCAGGTGGCGGTCGAGGTCGTGCGGCGCCCAGCACACACCTCTCGGTAGCCTCGGGAGCACTTGACGCGGAAGGGGCAAGGCGGGGGACGAGGACGGGGACGCTGCTGGGCCACCATAAAGACATAATCAGAACAGCATCAACTCACCATGGGGACACCGCGAGGGCACTGTAAGGATACCATCAGCACGCCATCGGCAAGCCATGGAAGCACCATCCATCAGGGCATATCAACACACAAGTACAACGCCATCGGAGGCCCATCAGGAGACCCTTGCGGCACCGTCGGGACTCCATCAGCAAACCGTCGGAGCACCAGCCAATACATGACCATCGGGACACCAGAAAGAGACCATCGAGCATCGCTGGGACCGTGGGGAAACCACCTGGACACCGTGCGCCACCACACACTAAGAGTAGAGGGCAGACAACCAACGCGGCCAAACACATCTCCAAACAAAAATGCCCACAGCCCCTTCGGTTCGTCCAGGCGACTATTGTAATGTTCTATGTGCGTTTGTGTAGGTGTTGTGTGTTGTACGTGTGTGTACGTGGTCGTGCTGGGTTTAATTGTGGTGTGTCGGTATGTGTGCGTTGTTCGCATTTGTGTTAGCTTTGCGCGTGAAGAGGTATATATGACTCCAGACTGCATGGCCGTACCCTGGAAGCAAAACACAACCCACCCACAAGAAGCCACAAACACGCACACAAACACACACACACACACACTTACGCACACATGACAACAACACACAACACATAACCCATGCACAGAACAATTCATTGAAACAATATGCTTCGCACGAAGATCCAAACCATTGCTGTTGTTGAATTCTCAGTGCTTGACATGAAAAAAACAAATGCGCTCAATGAATGTTTACGGTTTGCACGTTGTTTTATGCGTCTGATGTATGGTGGGCGTTCTGTGTCATCCATTCTCCATCCGGAAAGAACAACGAAACACATACAGCAAACACGCTAGACACGCGAAACAAAATCATAACAACATCCAACAATCTCAAAACAGCCAACTCAATTCTTTCACACAAGCAAAAGCACCTTTTGGCGCCCACCTCCCTCGAAAACGCAAGGCGAGCCACATCTTCTTTCTGCTTCTGCAGACGCCTCGGCATCACGCGCACAGCCTGGCACGCGCGACGTCGCCAGGCACGATCACGAGCGTGAAGCGTGATTTGTCCAGCTGCGGTTGCATCGCAGGGGCATTATCACACCCCCAAGCCTCGGAGTCAGCTAACTTCGTGGTGTGCTAGGTGTGACTAGCTACTGTCAGGATCTGTTGCATAGTGTGTCGCGGTGGCGGCCCTGGCGACACGCTGTACTTTGCAAGCGGATAGCGTGTTGCTCCGCTCCGTGGAGCGGGAGGCTGGGAACAGCTCGAGAAGTTGACGCTTGGGAATGGGAAAGTATATAGCGTGTCGCGCCAGGAGTGGTGGGCCAGAATCGGCGGAGCGACATGCTAAGCCAAAATTCCTGACCGTACACAGCCACGCCCTATTTGTTCCTCGCACATGTGCCATATACGACTTGCACATGGAGACGATGTCGTGCCACAAGAAACCTGAACTGTGCCACGAATCGTCTTTTGGACCTCGGCTACGTTTAGGCTTACGAGGAGTGTCGGAGGAAACCATGAGACGGACCTAAGGGCCCCCGCGTTACCTTTGAAGCCAAACTGGTCCTGAAGGTCACCTCGCAGCTATCTCACAAGGCACTTCAGAACTACCTCGTGGCCAGCTCGCAGCGGCTTATGGCCCCACGGCTGCCGTCTGCTCCGTGGCTGCCAGCCCAGTCATGGAGAACGAATACTTTTTGTCCTGCGCTTGTCCGCCACGTGTCGCCAGCAACCTACCTCGCCGACGCCGGGACGTGACCGACTGCAGTAGGCTCTCGGGTGCCGAGCGGCTCGTTTCTCCGCTCCGGGGGGCTGCCGAGCTTCTGCATGCCCTAAAACAGGGCTAGGATCGGGATAAATCGCTCCAGAGCGTTCCGGAGCGCTCTCAGAGCGTTCCGGAACGCTCTGGAGCGGCCGCGGCGCCCGATACATCCTCCAAACCCGCCGATTCTCAGAGATTTCGAGTTATCCCGATCCGATTTTGTCCCGATCTTCGCGTCGTGTTATGCCCCCCCCCCGCCCTGCCCTGAAAAAGCCTCGGCGGCAGGCCAGAAGCAAAGCTGAACCGTGGAGGACGGCTGCAGGCCGGCCGGCCCGAGGGACTACGCGCGGCCCGCTCTCTCGGAGGGGAGGAGGAGGAGGAGCAGGAGGAGGAGGAGGAGGAGGAGGAGGAGGAGGGGAGGGAGGAGGAGGAGGGAGGAGGAGGAGGGAGGAGGAGGAGGAGGAGGAGGAGGAGGAGGAGGAGGAGAGGAGGAGGAGGAGGAGGAGGAGTGTGGGCTCCTGGGGGTCTCCCCTCGGGCCTCCTGCAGGCCGCGCTCGCGGGGCAAACCCCGCCTGCACACGTGCGGCCGCGACCCTCCTCGTGCGCAGCGCCCCGGCTCGACCGACGGGCGCGCCCCCCCTCTG